GGGAGGGTCTTCCTCCCTGAGTGCGCGTGTCCGCCGGGTGCCCGGTGTCCGTCGAGTGCGGAGGACCCTGTCTCACTGCCTCGGAGATGCTTCCCGGACTCGTTCCGTTGTGGCCCACAGAGAGCGGAAGCAGAAGTCTCCGTTTCGTTTCTGTCTTAAGGTTTAGATTTGATTGGGGACGTTTTAACCAGCTGGTTGGTCATAACCTCAGAGGTGCTGTGTCTGAACGGCTAGACACGTCTGTCCTCACCTGATTGTGTTTAAAAACCGTCTTGATGACAAAAACATCAAATCAAAAATTGCTGCATCTATGGCCAGGGTTGCATTACGGCCTTACGCTCACTCACTCGCTTCTCTCTTGCTGAAGGTTGCCATGAGCTTCGGGACTGAGTCCCGTCTCGGGGGAGGTGAAATGAGCCAGGATTTCTGGGCTTCGGGAAACTTTAGGATTGGGTGTGTGTGTGTCTCCTTTCACCCGGGTCGGAGCTGGGACTCGGTGGCACTGGTGGCTGTGGCAGTTCTGCTTGGGCGATGTCGATAGCTCTGTCTCCTAGCGGTCCTTGTGGGGGGCATGGTGACCAGTGCTGGACTCGGACAAGGTGCGTGTTACAGGACCCCTCGGCCCAGAGCAGACACTCGGCATGTGGAAGAGAAAGCCTTGCTGAGCGCCCTGGGAGCCCTGGGGAGGATGCCTGTCAGGCCCCGCCCCTCTGTGCCCTGTCTCCCACCACCGGCCCCTGACTCACCCCCGCCCCCCCCCCAGGGCCTCTTAGCTGGTCTCTGAACAAAGTCCATGCCTTGTCCTGGAGTCTGCCCAGAATACTCAGCTTCCCTTCCCTCGTGCGGGGCCAGGGCTCCCCTGACTTCCCCCAACACTGAACCCCTAGTGACCTACTTCATATGTTTGTGAAACTTAATATTTTACTGTGAGGTAAGGTCCGTAGAAAGGCTGTTTTGTGCAGAGAGCAGTTGCTGGCAATAGTATGTGCTCAGTAACATGCTTGTTGAATGCATGAAAGTGATGAGCCTAGTGACAGCTGTGTGATAGGTATGATGACCTTATCATCACTTGGGCATCATCATGGGTTCTGAGGGAGGGCAGTCAGTTACAGGCAGATTGGACCGTCCTGCAAATCTTTCAACTTCTATAATGATTTCAAAATAAAAAGTTTTCGCCCAGCCTGCTTGGCTAAGTGGTTGAGTGTTGACCTATGAACCAGGAGGTCAAAGTTCAATTCCAAGTCAGGTCACATGCCCAGGTTTTGGGCTCAATCGATTCTCTCTTATCATTGATGTTTCTATCTCTCCCTCTCCCTTCCTCTCTAAAACCAATAAAAATATATATTAAAATTAAACGGTTTTAAAATCAGACCTGCCACTGGTAATACATTTGGAAATTTTGTTTTTGGTTACCCCCCAAAATCAAAACCTACTTGTTAGTCTTAATACTTGGTGGCATTTGTCAATGAAGTGGAGGAGTGGAGTCATCGTTAGCACAGACCGTGTCAGTGAGCTGTTCCTGAGCCTGCCCTGGCGCTGCGGCAGCGTCGGACTGAGGGACTCAGAACTCCCACCTCATGCCCGCGTGAACTTGCAGGAGTTGTTTTCTTGTGCTCCTCAGGTGACTATCAGTGTGCAGGTATTGAATGCGTGCTGCATGTTTCTCAGCCATTTTGGTCCTTGAGTCCCCCTCATTTGCAGAGGGTGCTCAGGTGAGCGGGACCCTCAGACCTGGAACTTGAATTCAGGCCTCCTGAGCAGGTTCGTGTTCTGACCACCTGCAGAATCCTCCCATAACCAGCTGCTGTGGTGCGTCTCTAGAGCCCAGGCATGAAAGGCTCACATCCATTCTGGGTGCAGGTATTTGCTGAGTGAATGGACAGGTAGACTTTTATATGAGGTCGGAGTTTGCTTCTAAAGCCAGGGAGCAAGGTGAACATGATGCACACAGATACAGTGACCCTTGGAAAAATCCTGGACTCTCTGTTAAGTAGTCTGTGCAGGGCATGGAATGTGTAATGCTGTAGGAAGACCTTATTTCAGCCACGAAGGCTCAGGCCGGTGAGAAAATGGGTCCCTGTGTCTTCAAAGGACCCGCGTCAAGCATGATGACCAGTCTTTGCACAAGAAGTAGACAGGAGACTGACGCTTAGCGCTTGATGGTGCCTCATGAGTCTCCGGTGCTCTCCAGATCAAAGGTAAACAAACCTACAGTCCTAAAATGAGGCTCATTAGTTTCTTCTATTGAATGGTCAGATCAGAACGTTTGGGACTGCAGACACCTGCTTGTTCATAGTCCTCTCTCTCTGTGTGTCATTGGAGTCTGTGCTAGGATTTCCTTCCTGAAAGAAGACAAGGCTGGTAGGGCTCCCGTGAGGGAACAGAGGTGAGGGTCCAGGTACTCACCCTGCCTGCAGTTGGGGGAGCAGAGGAGGTGATAAATGGAGAGATACTTCATCAACTGCTTCCTGACTATAAGTAACAAAGATGCGGAAAAACCATGACAGTTGTATCTTGTGAAAGGGAATTGCTAAGC